CTATGGGACAACTAGAAAAAAATGTAATGTACACATAATATACATTATGCCAGAAGGAGAAGAAAGAGAAAACAAAACAGAAGAAACACTTGAAATAATGATGGCTGAGAAATTTGCAAAATCAATGTTAGATACAGAACCACAAATTCAGGAAGTTTACAGAACAACAAGAAAAATAATAATAATAATAAAAACCCCTATACCTAGGTATATCATATGCTAACTGTAGAAAATAAAAAATAGGAGCTGGGGGAGGGAAGGAGCTGAGGGAGAGCATTTTACCTATGATAAGAATTACATTGGACTTCTCTTTTAGAAACCATGCAAGCAAGTAGAGAATGGAGTGAAATACTAGTCCTTTAAGAAATAAAAGAAAAAAATCTAAGAACCAAAAATTCTGTATCCCAAAAAATTATCCTTCAAAAATCAAGGAGAAATAAGAATTTCTCAAACAAAAATTGAGGAAATGTGCTGCCTGTAGACCTTACAAGAAATTTTCAAAGAAGTTCTTCAGAGAGAAGAAAGATAATATGGGTTAGAAACTCAGACCTACAATGAGAAAGGAAAAGTGTTAGAGAAGAAAGAAATGAAGATAAAACAAAATCCTTTATTCTTCTTATTCTTAATAGATAACTTGTCAATAATAGATTATCACTTATAGACAAGTAAAATGGATGACAACAATATTATAAAAGGCAGTAGGGAAGAATTAGAAATACTCCATTATAAGGTATTTGCACTACCTATAAGAGGTACAGTGTTACATGAAATTTAGATTAGTTGTAATGTATATTGCAAATTATAAGGCAACCACTAAAAATGTTTAAAAAGAAGTATAATTGATATGCTGAGTGGGAGGAAAATTAATCACATACTAGTAAAAGGCTCAATTAAAACAAAGGAAACATCTTACCTAATAAAAGAGAATCATGCAAATTAACCATTACTCCATTATGTCCACAGCCAATCAGAGTGTGTATGTAAATTAACCCAACAAAGATGAGGTTGATTTGCATATGTAGGCAGGGAGTGGCTGGGAGGGGTGGGATTCCTGCTATGAGGGGAAGGAGGGCAGTGGAGGGAGCTATAGGAGTGGTGCTTCAGACAGAAGCAAGGACTTGCTGGCTCCCAGGTGGGCGGGGTGGGTAGGGTGGGGGGGGGTTGGGTGGAGTTCTCCGGACAGAAGTGAGGACTTGCTGGTTCCCATGCGGGCTGGGAGCAGGGATATGCTGGCTCCAGGGCAGCTGGGAGTGAAGCCAGAGGAAGGAAGGCCTATTCTTGCATGAATATCATGCAACGAGCCTCTAGTAAAAATAATAGAAGACAAAAAAGGAATAAGGAACAAAGGCAAGGACTAGAAAATAGTTACTAATATATGGTTAAGTATTAAACCAACTGTATCTATAATCCCTATAAATGTAAATGGTCTACATACACTTACTGAAAGAGCCTGTCAGAGTTGATTAAAAATAACAAGATCCAAATATACGTTGGCTACAAAAAAAAACCCTACTTTGAATGTAAAGACACAGATAAAGTAAAAGTAAAGGGACAGGGAAAGATACATCATGTTGTGTAGCTATATTAATTTCAGACAAGGCAAACTTCAACAAGGAAAATTATTAGGGATAAAGACTGGCATTATATAATGGTAGAGCAGTTACTTTTCCAAGACATAAAAATCCTTAATATGTATCATCTAACAACAGAGTATCAAAATATGAGAGGCAAAAGCTGATAGGACAAAAGGAGAAACAGACAAATCCACTATTATAGTTGGACATTTCAATACAACCTCTGTCAGCAACTAACAAATCCAGCAAGCAGAAAGTCAGTAATAATATACTTGAACTGAACAGTACCATCAATCAACTGTATCTAATTGACATGTACAGAATACTTTATCCAACAACAGCAGAATACACATCCTTCTCAAGCTCACAGGAAAAAATCACCAAGATAGACACAATCTGGGCCATAAAATACATCTTCACAAATTTAAAAGACCAGAAAATGATACAAATTATGCTTTCAGATCACAGTGGAATGAATTTAAAATCAGTAACAGAAAGATAGCTGGAAAAATCCCCAAATATTTGAACATTAAATACACTATTAATTAACATGAGTAAAATAAGAAATCTCAAGAGAAATTTTAAAATATTTTGAACAAAGTTAAAACAAATACACAGAATATTGGCATTTATGTATACACCAAAAACAATTCCTAGAGGGAAATATATAGCATTATGTGTGCAGGGAGGGGGCAAAAGTCGGTTTACAGTTGCTTGTATGGAAAATAATACAATAATGAATAAATAATACCAAATAAACACTGTTTCTCATACAACTGTAAATGTACTGTTGCCCACCCCTGTATACATGAGAAAAGGAGAGGAGCTTCTGGGCTGGTGAACATGTGGAGATTCAGGGAGCAGGGGAGCTCCATGCCCCTTCCCACATCCCTTGTCCTAGGCATGTCTTCCATCTGGCTGTTCCTTTTATGATAAACTGGCAATCTACTAAGAAGCCAGTCACAAAGGACCACATGTGATTCAATGTATATGAAATAGGTGAAGCTATAAAAACAGGAAGTAGACTAGCAGTTACTTAGATCTGAGGTTGATGGAGGAATTGGAGTGATGGCTACTAAGCATACAGTTTCTTTTTGAGGTAATGAAGATGTTCTGAAATGAACAGTAGTGAGGGCTGCCTACATGAACCACCGATGGTTCATCACATTCACAGTCATTAAATATGAATTTCAATGAACCAAAAACCATTGAACTGCATAATTTAACTGGGTAAATTGTATAGCATGTGAGCTATATTTTAATAAAGTAATTTAAAAAAGAAAATGCCCATATTTTTTAGAGAAGCAAACTTAATGTAGCACGATGTTTAGAATATGCTTTAAAATTCTTAGCAAAGAGATAAAGGGACAGGATGGGGTAGTTAAAGCAAATGTGGCAAAATCGTTAGTAGCTTTTGAATCTAGGTAATGAGTACTATGCTATTCTCTACTTGAGCAAATTTGAACATTTCCTCTAAAACAAAAAGGCAAGTACTTCCACAACAAAACAAAGACAATCTCCTCTAAAGCAACATCTAATTATTAGGTACCTGGCTCTCTTGACTCTGATATCTTTTAAGCAGAATAAAATATTACACAGTACTCTGAGAGCCATTTATCATTTTGCCTGCACTACAAAGTAATTTCACTTTAAATGGTAATTACAAAGATGAAGCCTGCAACTTCAGATTTAACAAGATTTTCAAATTACACCCATATTACCACTTTTTGGACACATTTTTCCTAATGCAGGCATGTGGCTCTATAAAATTGTTAAAAATCAACCGTGAAGCGGATTACAGCAAAAAATTTCCCCAAAAATGATACCTGCTGACACAGCACCGATAATTATCAAAATATATTCTTCCTCTCTCATAGGCTATAGGTGACTTGGAATGAGTAGTCCAAACATTCTTAAACTTAGTACTTTCCTGAAAGACACAAAGGATTTTGGTTTAGGAATTCTATAATAATAAAAGCGTAATATGCTAATTAAACTAGACAGCCAAAAGACCTTCTGGATGTCATGCTGAAAGTCCTTCCCAGCAGCGGGGGCTGGACAGAGATGGTTAGGGGCCATCAGGCAGGCAGGTAGGCCAGCGGTTAGGAGCCAGCGGTCCTGGATTGTGAGAGGGCTGTCCAACTGCCATATAGACCCAATCCTGGCAGTTGGACATCCCTGAGGGACCCCGGATTGCAAGGGTACAGGCCAGGCTAAGGGACCCCCTCTCTTCCTCGCATTCACGTATTTCCTGCACCTGGCTTCTAGTAATTCATAAGCCTCTACTGTGCACCCATTTTATGATGGATAGTTAAATTTAGGGTTTTCAAATAAGTTTCACGTATGTAATTTAAAAACATTATGTTCAATTCTTCGTCACTCTGCCTCCCTCTCATGTTTTGGTTTCAGTGGGGTGACCAACTTTTCAAAAGATTGTTTGCAAGGAAGATATAAACAGCTTAGAAAATTAAAAGCTTCTGGCGGTCCTATTAACACCTATTTACTAATCCTCCAGGTTCAGGGCATCCATGCCCCTCTCAAATACAAATAACCTTATGAAAAGGGGGCTCTACCGCGTAAAGTCAGCACCCCGGAAGGCTTGAGCACCCCAGAAGGCTTGAGCACCCCGGAAGGCTGGAGCACCCCGGAAGGCTGGAGCACCAGGCGCCCGCAGCCCTCGGTCCCGCCCCCCTCAGGCGGTCACCTGGCACACCAGCGCCCGCAGGATGCCCAGGTTCGTCCTTTGCACGGCGCCCGCGTCGCCGGAGAAGAAGCCCAGCGCCCGGCGGCTCAGCCGGCGGCACACGTTGGGCTTCCGGGTCGGGCCCATAGGGGCCGGAGAGGGGCGCGATCCAGACCCTCGCGCGGAGCAACGGCCGCTCCGTCGGAACCTCGAGGCCCCAGCTCCCCGCGGGGACCAGGACAAACGAACACGGGGGCCGGGCTGCGGGGCGCACGGCAGGGCGGCTCGGGAGACACAGACGGCACCGCCTGGTCACCAAGAAGAGGGGAGGGAAAGACGCCCCCTTTACGGGCTGTCCCCCAAACGCCCGCTGGTCCTTGCCCCGGCTGTCCTGCGTCGCCCCCAGAACACGCAGCCTGCAGGAGCCGCCGGTCCCTCCTCGGGAAATGTAGTCCCCGGTGCCTCCAAGGGAGCCGGGCTCGCTCCCAGAACTACAGTTCCCATTAGGCGGCAGGGCACCCGCTCCGGCCGCTGGTCCCGCCCCTCGCCCCTCGCCCCGCCCCGCCTATCCCCCGCGCCCCGCCCCGCCCCGCCCGCTTCTATCCCCGCCCCCTCCCGGCCCCGCCCAATCGCCCTGCCCCGTTCCCCGCCCCCGCCCATCGCCCCTCTCCGCTCCGAGCCCCGCCCCCCGCCCCGCCCCGCCCCCGCCCCTCTCCGAGCCCCGCCCCCCGCCCCGCCCGCCCCTTCTGACCTGGCGGCGCCTGCACCGTCCTGGCGGTGCGCCCTTCCGGTGCTCGCTGGCGGCAGAGGACCCTGCGAGCTTGGTGCTGCAGCCTCCGTGTGCCCCGCTCTCAGGGACCCGTCCCTACCGCCCGGCACCCCCCCCGCCTCTCGGCCCCTGACTTGCGCTGTGGGAAGCACCGAGAGAGGCGCGGAGTCGAGAGCGCCCCCCAAAGCAGCGTCCAGCGCTCCAGGTACGCCCCGCGGCTTTCCCCTCAGGACCACGTGGGATGCTGTAGACGAGGCTCACCGTTAAACTTTTTGGGGTCTGTGTGTATGTGAGTTAGTGGTGGGAGATGCTCGGCTTTCCCTCTAAACTAGGGTTGAACTGCTCTTTCCCGAGGCCCGCCCCTCTGCGGTGTGCGAGGACTCAGGCTGGTTTTGAGATAATTGCTGCATTTTCCTTCCTCGGGCCTTCTTCCCCCCCCCCCCCATAATGGGAATACAATGTGAAGTGCTTACATTCTGATTGCGCTGCCTATGGTATTCCACGTTGACTCATCTAAATAAAACTAAATGACTATCGCTAGGCCTGCCCGCAGAGGCAAAGTCCCCCCTGCACTAAGTTTCCCCGAATCGTGCCCCGGGTGGAAGTCCCCTTGCTGAGTCCCTGCAGGGTGCTCTTTGCACCTCCCACGTGGGCTGGGCGCGCCACCTCTTGTCCGGTAAATGCGCGAGGGAGAGATGGCATTTGACCGACAGCAAAAAGTACAAAACTGAGTGGGCGTGTGAGTCACAAAGTGCTCAGTATAAATTTTAACCTTATCTCTTTTTTAACCCTGCTGCATTTCCTCTAGGCGAGGGGCTGGGCTTTTGCTGATTTTTTTTTCATAACTTATGTACAGCATGCTGTGGAGCGCTTTGTGTATCTTTAGACAGCACTATACGAGTTAATTTGGTCATTTCATGAATGCAGCTGTCTCTGAGAACACTGGGGCTCAGAAAAGATAACGGAATTTTTGGCTGAAACAAAATTCAAGTAATTGCGGAAGTGAACGCATCATCTCTTTTCTCTCTCCTTCCCCTTCGGCTACTTTTTTGTCTTCCTGTGTGGTATTTACCTCACCACCAAGAGACCGACAAGCCAGATGCCTTCTTTTTCTTCACCCACAACCAAGTCCTTTTGGTTCTAACTCTTGAGCATCTCCTCATCATATCCCCTGAGTAATGTAGGGTCTCCTCCATTTTATCATATTAATAATTAACAGCCTCCTTTCTGCCTTAATACTTTCAAGTCACCCCTCTACACTGCTGCCAGAGTGGGTTTTCTGTCACAAATCCGCCATTTCTCTATATATCTGTGCAGCTGCCAATCACCCAGAGCAGAATTTCTCGAACCCGAGTAAATACTTAGGATTCTCTTGTTAAGTTACAATATTTTCAGGATGCTAAATATATGCAAATATAAAACTATATAAATTCCTTATGTTGTATCTTTTATGCAACTATTAACTTATAAACGGTTTAAGTTAAATTAAGCAAAACTATAAAACAAACAAATTCAAATGAATACTTATTCATTGTTTCCAATGAGCTTTTTGCCAGGCCAGTCATCATTTCTCTTTCACTTCAGTGTTTCTCCCTCTCCTTTACTCTCTTTAAAATCAATAGAGACATATTAAAAATAAAATGAAATGCAGAAAGAGTTAGGATTAAAGGGTTCGTAGTAATGTTTTTAAAAGTATATTAGTTATTCAAAGACTATGTATGGATAACAGCATAATATGTAAATAATAATTATAAATTGAATACTCATATATCTATCATCAATTTAAAAAACACACACAAAATAACCTAGAACATTACTTAAAAACTTGACATGTCCTATGTGCCCTTCCTAGTTCCTAGCTCCCTCTTTCCTCTTTATTTAGATAAGATATTGTTATTTTTAATGTTTTTGAACATTATATAAATTGAATCATACTGTATATATGTACTCTTCTATAAATTGCCCAGTTTTTCCAACATTACATTTGACAAGGTACCTGAATTCATTTATTTTTACTACTGTATAATGTTTTATTGTATGAATTTGCGACAGTTACCCATTTGCCACTGGCCAGACTTCAGTGTCTTTCAGGTTTTTTTATTCCTAGAAAAGTGCTGCTATAGGCATTCGTAAACCTGCCTCCTGTTACACTTGTTAAAGTATATGTTTGTTTTCTCTTGCTGTGTAACAAATTACCAAAAACGAAGCAGCTTAAACCAATACCATTTATTAGCCCTCATTTTTTTCCTACATGAAAAACCACTTGTCCCAGCACCACCATTGCAGTGTCTATCATTTCTCCACAGATCTGTAATGTTAACCCTTGTTTTATATCAAGTTTACATTCATGGTCAGGTCTGTTTCTAGGCTCTGTTTTCTCTTCCATTGTTCTGTTTTTCTATCCCTAGCCTAATACCTAACCAACTTTTTTATTTTTATATTAAGATATTATATGTGTACATATCTTACCATTGCCCCCCCCCCCCCCACCCTACTCCCATACCTGCCCTCACCCCCCGGTGTTTTGCGTCCATTGAATACCTGACCAATTTAATAGTAAGGGTTGAGAGCTGGTAGGGCAAGTCCTGTACTTATTCCTTTTCTTCAGGAGTATCTTTTGTTTTTGCAGTTTGCACTTTCATATATGTATATTTTAATTTCATAAAGGAAGGGATAGAGAGAGAGAGAAAAAAAAACATCAATGATGGGAGAGAATCATTGATCTGCTGCCTCCTGCACACTCCCCACTGGGATCGAGCCCACAACCAGGGCATTGCCCTAATGGGGAATCAAACTTTTACCTCCTGATGCTCAACCACTGAGCCACACCGGCCAGGCTCATATATCTTTTTCTTTTTTTAATACATTTTTATTGATTTTGTACAGAGAGGCAGGGAGAGAGAGAGTTAGAAACATCGATGAGAGAGAGTCATCGATCAGCTGCCTTTTGCACACCCCCTACTGGGGATGTGCCCGCAACCAAGGTACATGCCCTTGACCAGAATCAAACCCGGGACCTTTCAGTCCCCAAGCTGACGCTCTATCCATTGAGCCAAACCCGTTTCGGCTCATATCTTTTTGAACCTGCGTAAGTACTACCAAAAAATCCTACTGGAAGTTTGATTGGTATAGCATTAAATCTGTATATATCAATTTGGAGAGAACTGGCATCTTTACCATATCAAATTATCCTATTTATGAAGACAATGTGTCTCTCCATTTATTTTAGTTCTTTAGCGTCTTTCAATGAAGTTTAATAGTTTTTCTAAGAGAGTTCATAATTTGCAACTTCCTCAGTACATTGTTATATTTTGGCCAGAATTATAACTGGTATATTTTTAAATTAGATTTTCTAACTATATTTTTTTGCTAGTATATAAAAAAAGCAGGTGTGGGTTTTTTTGTGATTTTTTTTTTTTTTTTTTTTTTTTTTGTATATCGGTCTTCTCTTTAGCAACCTTGCTAAATTTTATTTTTAATAGTGATAATTGTCATTTGTAGGGTTTGGGGGATTTTTCTACGTAGGTAATCATGTCCTTAGAAAACTGTGACTGTTTTGTTATTTCTTTCTCAGTCCTTACCTTTATTCCTCTCTTTCTTCCATTGCTAGCTAGGACCTCTCGTGCAGTTGAATAGAACCAGTGATAGTGGACATTCTTGTCTTATACACTTTTATAAACTTCTAATAGTTCACCATTAAGGATGACATTGTCGGTTTTTGGTAGCCACTCTTTATCAGGTTAATGAAATTCTTTTCCATCCCATATTTGCTAAAAGTCTTATTAGATTTTTAATTGTGAATGAGTGTTGCATTTAATCAGCTACTTTCTCTATTTGCTGAGGTGATCCTTTAATTGTTTTTCTTTAATCTGATAATTTGGTGAATTTCTGATAATTTTCTAGTGCTAAAACAAACGAGTTAATTTAGAGAAGTTGTGATGTGTTTGTTTTTCATACATTGTGGGATTTGGGCAGCTGCTGACTTCGTTTCTCACTCAGCTTTCTGGACTTTCTCTAGCTTTTGGTCTCCAAAGATTTCTTGTTCCTTCTTGCTGACTCAGTGACGCAGTTAACAAGATATATATTTAAATATATTTAACCAGCCTCTTGTATTTCATAGTAGAAAGGTTTTTGGAATATGAGGTTCACCAAATGATCAGTACTAGAATTCTACTTTCTTATATTTTTAGTGTAAAAGTTTCCAACCATCATTTCTTTATTTTATTTATTATTTTTTTTATTGTAAAAGTTTTACATATGTCTCCTTTTCCCCCGATTGACCCCTCTCCCAGCCATTCTCACCCTGGGCAAGCCCCCACCGCCCGAGTGTCTGTGTCCATTGGTTTTGCTAATATGCTTGCATATAATTCCTTTGGTTGCTCTCTAATCGCGCCCCCAACTCCCCTGCCATTTGTCTCTGCCATTCATCATTTCTTTCTTCTCTTCTTCTTGTCTCTATGCACAGCCATTTCCCTCCCTTCTGAAAACAAGGACACAGTGCTGTGTAGTAGAAAGAGCATCACACAAGAGTTGCAAGGCACAAGTATAGTGCCAGCACCACCACTTAGTGAGATCTTGGCCAAGTCACTTATTCTGAGTTTCATTTAATCATCTGCTAAAGTGGGGACACTCAGGATTGAAGTAAGAATCACATGAACTTATAAATGTGAACACGTTGTGAGAGGAAAGGATGAGAAGCAAAGATGTCAAGTACATTGTGAGAAAAAAGTAACAGAAACAGGGAGTTTGGGGAGGGGAGAGGGTTGATTAGTAGAATGGAGGATTTTTTATTTTATTTTATTTTATTTTATTTTATTTTATTTTATTTTATTTTATTTTTTTAGGTTGGTGAAACTATGCATTTGTTAAAATCCTAAGAGCTTTTTAGCACAAAGAATAAGCAATGTATGCAGAATTTAAGAAGGTAATTAAGGGGTAGTGTGGATTCTAGGATGGAATGCAGGCTGTAACAAAAGAATCTAACTGTATTACAAATGTACGAGGTAACTAACCTCCCTGAAGGGGCCAGGGAAAAGGTACTGACAGAAGTAACTTTGAAAATGAAACTGTAAGGCGAAAGACAATAGGAGCTATGCATATGTACTATACTCTTAAGTGAATGTTTCTCACAGAGGTATGGGTTAACAATTCTCAAACCACTATTCCTGTGTTCTGGAATTGAATAATGAATAACTGGTTAATGGA